CATGTTTTACCTCTTTAAAGGAGTTGTAAAGTCTCAGCATATACTCCCCTGTTATAACATCAGCATTGTAATAGGAATACATACTATAGGTGTTTTCTATAATAGAATAGCCATAATGGTACACAATCATAGGCTTGATGTATTGAATTGCCTTCTTCATACAAATGGCACCCCTAAGATTGTGTTCTGTTTTGTTTTTTACTATTATACATTTAAAAAAAAATGTATTATTATTTTAACTATGTATTTCCTTTTGGGTGTAGCCCTGATGAAGAGAATCCACGAAAAGCATTAGCCTTTTTAACTCAATGCAGCGTCAAATAAAATTGTTCTGTACTGGCGCTTGCTTATTCTTCTGTACATCAGCCAGCTCTGTGTATTAGCTTGTAAAAAGAGGTTTACAAGCAGCTGTGTCCTTGAAGTACGAACACGCTGTCCAAATATTTAAGAAAGAGTCTCCTTTTTTTTTAATTCTCTTTTCGAGGGGAGGAAATGCAAACCAACTGATAGAGAATCTCAGCGGGTGACGTGAAACATTTCCAAGGTGTGCAAGTGCTTATGATCGCCCAAAGACATCAGATACACTGACCAATGGTCTCATACAGTCCTTAATATGGTCCCACTGCTTAAAAATATTAGGCACTGCAGAGCTGCATAATCCTGATTTTGCCTGATGTGGACTATATATTATTTTGTAGCTATTCAGACATTCAGGGCAGGATTAACTAGCGGGCAAAATAAACGTGCTTAGGTCACCAAAGGTAGGGGGCACCAAAGTCCCCTAGCTATGATGCCCTTCAAAGATAAGTGCACTTTTTCTTTTTACCCTGAGCAAATCGATCCCACCCTCCCCCTTCCACAGGTGTATACTTACTGAGATCCGACTAACATGGCATCCGTTGTTTATGTACAAAGGTACTCAAGCCCCATAGAGTTCTTCTGGCCGGAAGATGAAGGTACTCGGGCCCCATAGACGACTTCTGGCCGGGAGATGAAGGTACTCGGGCCCCATAGACTTCTCCTAGCCATGAGACAAAGGTACTCAAGCCCCATAGACTTCTGTCCAGGAGACAACGGTAGTCAAGTGCCATAGACTTCTCCCAGGCAGCAGACGAAGATAACCAAGCCCCATAGACATCTCCCAGGTAGGAGACAAAAGTTGTCAAGTCCATAGACTTCTACCAGCCAGGAGATAGTTAGGGAAGCCCCATAGACTTCACTTTTCATTGTTGGGCTATGCTTAGGGCATCAGTTGCTCTGCAGACACTGAAGAGGAAATATAAAAGGGTACAGGAAACTGTGGAAACATTCAGTGACTGTGAGAAGCTTGTATTATCAGAAGGGAAGGCAAAGCAGGGTAGGAGTACTGAGGAAAGAAAAACACATTCGTGGGAATCGGAAACAGAATTTCAACTGGTAGTTAGTATTTGCTGCAGACCAAAGAAATACTTCTGGATGCCTGAGAAAACTATGGATACGTTTACTACTTTTCTTTTCCAAAGTAGAAAACTCCTACCCAACTCTGCCTTTCCTTTTTTATAGTTACAGGTTCTGGAGGTATCTAGAATGTCCAATGAGTATTATTCAGATTTAGCCAGTTATCATGGATTGCAGACATGGGATACTGTGTGCATACATTCCATAGACACTCATAGATAACAACAGACCACATGGTTTTCATCTCTTCCCATGGCTGGAAATGGAATGCACCTGAAAAATAAAAATCTCCTAAATAGGTTTGAAGGGCCTCTTTAACTCTCTTGTCTCTGAACTCCACAGCTATGACAGGGGGATCGCAGTTGCTGGGTTTGTTGGCATTGGACGTCTCATCACTGGCTTGGACAGAGGGATTCTGGGTATGTGCGTGAATGAGAGGAGAAAACTAGTTGTACCGCCACACCTGGGATATGGCAGCATAGGCGTGCGTAAGTACCTTTCTTCATGTTCTCCATGCAATTTTGTTCCTGCTTAATTCACAGCTTTAAAGACATCCTCCACTTTTGAAAATTAATAAATGCACCCACATTGATTAAAGAAAAAATGTACATCAACATAGCAAAACTACGATTGTTCCCCAGAAAGGGATCCCACCATTATTACAAAGTGTAAGACAAATTATCGTAAAAGTGTATTTATTTCTAAATATTTAAAATGCATACCTATCAAAAGACAAACAAACATGTATATAATCACATATATGACTGCTTTCAGCTAATAATTGAACAAATGCATGTGGATATACATATTTGAAATGTATAAGATACGCCCTGGGGTGCCTCAGTATATATTTAACGTTATGCTTAATGTCAGGAGAGTATCCTTATATCTAGAGCTTCACAAATGGAAAAGGATGTCAGTCTCCTGAATCAAACGAAGAGTTAACATACACGTGAATGAAAAATAAAATAAAAAAAAGAAAGTCAAAAATGCCTTATTTGATTTGCAAAATATATAGGTTGCACTCACAGTGATGTATTTTTCACTCATGGATCAGGATCAGGAGACCGGAGTAATTTTGCCACTGATATAAAGAGACCCAGCTGTAGATGCGAATGGTTCAGGAGATATTTATCCTTATCTCGGCTTTTCTTTTCTGCTGTAAAAGTAGGCCTTTACTAAACATATGCTCTGGGTCGTATGGTGGCTGTATCAGGAGCAGAAGAAAAGGGAAGGAAATCCTCCTAACTGGTCATATATAGCTTTATGTTCTGCCCAGTGATATTTTTCACTCATGAATGAAGATCAGGAGACCAGAGTGGTTTTGCCATTGACATAACGCAGGCCAGCTGTAAGCGCAATAGGTTCAGGAAACAAATAACCTTATCTCGGCTTTTCATATCCACTGTAGATGTTTAGACTTTACTGAACACATGCCCTGGTTGGTTTGGTGTCCAGATCGAAGGAAATCCTCTTTGGCTGGATCAATGATGTCTGAATTTTGTTCTGCTCCTGAATATATCAATAAATGTATGCTGTTCAGAGAGTGACTATTCTCCAGCTTTGAGCTCTGAAGTCCTCCAGTAGAGTATAGTGTATAACGTATGACCACGGATTGAAATGAAGCAAAAAAACCAGGGCGGCCTTAGCCGAGGCAGTCAAACAAAAACACCTAGCCCACGCCTATGATGCGTTTCACCCCCCACCGGGGCCACAGTGTGTGGCCAGCTTTAGTTTAGCAAAGGTTAGATTCTGTCAATTGTTCATTTCTATTTGTTTTCCTGTTGGGAAGGTGTCCTCTCACTTCCTATCAGGACAGGAATCCCAGAGGACATCATGGGCCCATCTAGGTGATGAGCACTTAAGGACAGCTGACATGACAAATCAGGAAGAGGCACCGGCTTGAGTTCACACACCGTAACTAGTCGCCTAGTTTACTATAACGCTACATACATAATGCCAAATGGTTTGACATATGCAATAAAAAATATAACCTCCACTCATCTACATTGCCATGGCTTGGGCAACCAACTCTGAACCTCCGACTGGGGACATCAAACTCACCATTTCAGCTGCTCATTGCCCAAGCCCTTCTATAGACGTCTGTTGTGTATAATTACAATGACAAAACTGTAATATGGATTAGATATATTATATATTTATGGATTGGGATTAATAGTTTATAATTAAGTGAAAGCTACTAATTTTTATTTCTAGCCGGGATGATCCCTGCAGATGCCACTCTCTACTTTGACATCATCCTGGTGGACGTCTGGAATAAGAAGGACGACATTCAAATCGCAACTCTGGAAAAACCCAGCAATTGTAACAGGACCGTGCAGGACTCTGATTTTGTCAGATACCATTATAATGGAACCCTGCTGGATGGCACTTACTTTGATTCAAGGTACTAAGACAGAATGATAAACACTTTTGGTTGTGATACCTTTGCATTTTTTTGGGCTTCTATGTTAAAGGAGAACTATGGGGTCAGGGCTTTTCCCCATAGTTCTCCTTAGGGTAACGGGAGGACACAAACTAGCGTCCTCCCGTTACCCTAAGCTCAGTATACTGCGAGCTACAGCTCGCGGTATACTGAGACGCCGGAGCGGATCCCGACATCGATGTCGAGATCCGCCCAGCTGCGTGAGTGACAGCTGGCTCTGCCTATCTAGAGGCAGAGCCAGCTGTACCCGCCCCCTCCCCCGTCCATTCCGCCAGTCAGCGCTGGAGGATCGCAGCGCGGACGGGGGAATCCAGCCTCTCCCCTGTCACGGCTCTCTGCTAAGAAGAGATTGAGAAGTGAGCGAACGTCGGTATGTGTTCGCTCGCGTCCCGATTTTACTGAGCCGACCTGCGACAGTCTCATTGTCACAGGTCGGCTAGAACTATGAGGTGAGTGAAAAGCACTCGCCTCATAGTTCTCCTTTTAAGGTTACCAGATTTTCAAAATGAAATCCAGGGATACCCTACTGACCATGCCCACTTATAACCACACCCTTAAAACCACACCCCAAATTGATTGCCACATCCACAAAATCACGCTGCCATTTTTAGCATGCCCTGAAAGAATTGGTCACAGACTTCTAGAAGAGGAAGTGGACATTGAAGATGTAAAGACAAAGTGCCCTGGTCACTAACCGGAAGTAAATAATAATTCTGCGTGTGCCAGGGCGAATCATGGGTGTGGTAAGATTTTGCTAACGGTGGGAGTGGGTGAAGATGCATGGTTAAAGAAACGCTGAGCCTAAACTATCGGTCAAGCAGGAGTAACGCACAGAGTGCAGGGGTCAGGAGTGTATAATGCATATACTTTAGGGGTAAAGAGTGTGTAAAGCACAGTGCAGGGGTCAGCAGTAGTAACACATGGATTAAAGAGGTCAGGAGCAAGAAATGCATGTAGTACAGGGGTCATGAATAGGTAATGCATGTAGTACAGGGGTCATGAGTAGGTAATGCATGGAGTACAGGGGACATCAGTAGTTAACGCATAGAGTACAGGGGTCATGAGTAGGGGACAGTAGCAAGTAATGCCGAGTTCAGAGCTCATTAGTAAGTAATGCAGGGTTCAGGCGATAGTAGTAAGTGACGCAGGGTTCAGTGGTCAGTAGTAAGTGATGCAGAGTCCTAGAAGCAGCCATCACTGCATGTACAAAACTGGCTGTATATGACTGCAGTTTACTACCGCTGGGGATGCCGTTGGACGGTTGCTTCCTGGGGAAAGCCCCCCCCCATTTCCCCATGCATGGCTTGGGTAGAACTGTTACACTAGTGTGCATGTGAGCCTGCAAAGCCAATCAAAACTTTGGTTTGCTCATACTAGCCGTATTAGAGAGACATTAATAGCTGGAAGTAACTTCAAACAGTTAAAGGTATATTCCATTCAGTACTGAAAGTCGGAAGCAAGGACCACGGCTTAGCTGCTTAGGGCTTCTGTTATCCCAAGCCTTGAAAATACCAGATACCAGGTAGGTTCCTTGCTGGCGGTCAATATCAACACCACAAATGGATATTATAAAACTCAGATTAAGGCGGATGTATCATGAATAAAATCGTGGTTCCTAAAATTGATCAAAAGCTGGCCTAAAGTACTGCTTCAGGATGCCACGTGACTAGATGGCCTAATCGGCTGCAGGAGAGGGTCCTTGTACAGAAATCGTCCATATCATGTCATGTGACTGGCTACCGTGGCATCCTAGAACAGCAGTTTCTACAACTAAGGTAATAGCTCAGTACTATTGCTATCTTTTATGATTTTCAGGCATATAGAGGGCAAGGTAGCTCAAGGTGGGCCATCTGACTGTAGCGCAGTGTTAAGTGGATGGCAAAACCATTATATATACTGAATTTACTCTTTAAATAAATGAAGAAATGTAATAATAACACATATCATGTTTTCTTTGCTTGTAGCTACAGCCGTTCTAGTACATATGACACCTATGTTGGATCCGGCTGGCTAATTAAAGGCATGGACCAAGGCCTATTGGGCATGTGTGCTGGAGAGTTGAGAAAAATCACCATCCCTCCATTTCTGGCTTACGGAGAAAAAGGATATGGTAATTAAAAAGACAAAAAATACTTCATTCTAATTTGATTCAAATAATGTCTAATTTGTATTGTAGCTGCCGGGGTGGGCAACTCCGGCCCTCCTGCTGTTGTGGAATTACAAGTCCCAATGAGGCATTGTAAGACTGACAGTTACAGGAGGCTCGCAAAGGAATGTTGGGATCTGTAGTTAAAAGTACAGCTGGGGGGGGCGGAGTTGCCCACCCTTGATGTACTGTATCTCTATAAATTGCATGACCAACTGGATAGAGTGGGCAAAAGGCTTACCTCATCGGTGTGCTGCTATACCTTCATTGTCAAGTCAGTAGGTTGCGGGTGTGTTCTTAACTGGGCTTTGTTGCTGCTGCTAGAATGGGAGGTCCAGGATCTGGCTGTGCTGTCTGGAAGGGGCTTCTTGTTCAGAAGATTACGAATACTTTTAAGGGAACTGTTTAGCCTTTCAAAGTATTTCAACTGTAAATGTAGCTATTGGGTAGTGAGCTAGGAAGATCGTTTTAGAACAGGGGTGGGCAAACTCTGACCCTCCAGCTGTGGTGGAACTGCAATTCCCGTGAGGCACTGCAAGATTCTCACAGGCATGACTCCCAGAGACAGATGCATGATGGGGTTTGTAGTCTCATCACAGCTGGAGGGCCGGAGTTTGCCTACCCCTGGTAATAGAATGAGTAAGGAAATGTAACATTATTTTATGTTTTCCTGTTTGTAGGAACTGTCATCCCTCCACACGCCTCTCTGGTCTTTCACGCCCTTCTGATTGACTTTCACAATCCAAAAGACGGGATCACCTTGCAGAACCAAGTTGTCCCCCAGCCGTGTAAGCGCAAGGCAGTTACAGGAGACTACGTCCGCTACCATTATAATGGCACCCTTATGGATGGAACGTTGTTTGACTCCAGGTACGTCTGTCAAATATGGAAGTACTAATGCTTGGGAATGTGATTGGCAGGAAGTTGGAGCGCACCAATAATATGTGTAAATGACTGTATTGGTGTTCCTGTAATGGAACACACAGAGGGGACTCAAAGATTATCCTCATTTATCATTTGTCCAAAAATAAACCTGTGCTGTACAAAAATTAAAGCTAAACTCTGGCCTTAAACATTTTAGTTACAAAGGATATAAATTCACTTTGAGTGCACAAAATACCTTTTGCTACAGATCTTACCTTTTTTTTTTTT